CAGCATCCACCTGTAGGCTCCGACTGGGGGTTAAGGTATTTGCTCATCACTCCCCAATATCTCTATGTAAACATATCTGCGGGGAATGATGAGGTCAGAGCATGGACGCCAAAATCTAAATATGCTATACTGCTTTAATAAACATTTCAAATGTGAGTTGTCTGACTGAACTAATGTTGTACTGGAACTAATAGTGCAATACCATCAATAAGCGAAAGAACAACGTAAAGGACACAATAATGTACAATATATGTACATGCACAGATGAGCTGAAAAAAATCCTCAAAAGCTGTTTATCGCAATGACAAGCTTTAACAATAAAAATGTAATACATTGTGATTTGATTTTAGATTTATATGGGGTATTTATGTTGTGTGAATGAAAGCATTGCAGTATGCTGTGAGTTAAACAATAATATATCGTGTCTGTTCTGTTTGAATAATAGCAATTACAACTAAACCACAAAACAGTAAGCCCACACCCAAAGTGTTGTAAAAGTTAATGAGTTGTCTAATTATCATAACTTGTGCCCTAATGTGTAATAACCACTGGGTCAGTCTGCCTTATTAATTCATCAATTTTTTTCTTTTTTATTCTGTCTGTACCTTCCTGTATATTCTTCTTTCTTGAGCTGATATTACAGCTGTAAATCAAGTTGTCTCATGACACTCACTTCCGTGAGACACAAAGTTCTATTTCACATGTAGTCTTCACGTTATACTTTTTGAATGATTCGTTGTCAAATTGGAAGAAAAGAAGCGATTTGCATCCCTGTCTTCTGATTAAAGTTATGTTTTCTGTTATCATTTCCTGTTTTATTTTGGTGTACTCACCTCTGTCTCTCGTTTCAGATACTTCACTTCTTGCCGTCATGTCTTTACTACATGTGTGATTATTTGCCCCTTCTTGATTAGTCTCACCAGTCCCTCATTACCCTTCCTCCCTTGTGTATTTAGTCTCCTTGTAGTAAGCGTTCCAGCAATGTATTCCTTCTGTATTCATATTTTGTGTTTTTGGAGCAAGACTTTTATTCTAACTGCCTTGTGTGAGTGTGTTTAAATGTTCATGGCAACATTATAATCAGTGCTGCCAACCTCCGACCTTGACTGCATATCTACTTGTCAGTATTCATTGTACATTAATTATACAAGAAGCAACAGAAAAGAAAGGTTGATTGTTCCCAAATGACTCACTTTCTCCCTGTAATACAACAAATAACTAGAGTAATAAAAACAGTGCACTTAGTAGAGTGCAGATCTCCGCCAGGCAACAGATAGTGAAGCACCAACTGCAAACTGCGAGTGTCCTCAATAAATGCTACACTTAGTCCAAACTTCTCAATTCAAACATTGTTATTTATTTAGACCATTTAGTTGTAACACACCACACAAAATGAAGAGTTGAATTTCTCCTGTTTCCCTTACAATCACTTAATACACCATAAGAAAGACAGCATCAGATAATTGTGAAACATGTAACTGCAAGGAATCTGTGGAACATTTGCTGATTGGTTGTAGGAGGTTCAGTGTTGAAAGACAGATTGAAGAACGGGGTGGTAGATATGTGAAGGGAGTGGAGCATTAATGGTCTGTCAGTGACAGGGGACAATATGAGTATAAGGTAGATCGATATAATATCTAATATATATAATAATATAATATATAAAGTCAGAGTGAGGTCAGAGATTCATGGGGGTTTGGGTGAACAATGTCTTGTTTGTTGCTTTTTCTTTATCTCATTTGTTTTTATATTTTTTAATATTAATTAATATAGGTTTGGTGGTTTGATCCCCAGCTCCTCTGGCTGCATGTTGAAGTGTCCTTGATCAAGATACTGAACCCCAAATTGCTTCTAACGCTGTGCATCTGTGCATGAATGTGTATGAATGAGTTAGGTGTTTGTGATGGCCTTTGCCATCACTGTATGAATGTGTATGAACGGGTAAATATGGCATGTAGTGGACTTTGAGTGGTCGGAAGAAAAAGGTGCTATATAAGTTCATTCAATTTTCCATTTACTCACTTATCAATTACGGAAGCAAAGACTGGCTGTGCTTGCAATTATTATTATAATGCAGTTAAGATCACAAGTTAATTTATCTCATTATTGTGAGAAAACATTAGGGCGGGTTTCTCAACATAACAAGATAATTTATCACAAGATACTTACTTAAGTATATAAAATGAGTGTTGGGGAGGATTAATAACTGAAATGAAAAGAGTTCTTACCAGAATGTATACCTGAAAATTCATTTAAGCAATCAATTCCAGTCAATGTGACATAACACTGACAAAATATATCAAAAGAAAATTGTGACTGCAATGTCCACATCCTTTTCCCTGGCTCCTGGCTCATTTTGGTCAAAATGAATATTAACTGGCAAATTGCATGTCATCCCTCCATTCATTGTCCATTATATTGAACCAATGCTTCATATATAATCTGCCATTTATGCATGCTACCATGGCACTCCTGTTCTCTGATAGACATTATATGTAATAAGAGGAAACAACCTTGTGTTTTCTTGTGATAACCGGTTGATTATCTTGTATCTTGTGATAACAAAATAATTAAATCTTGATCTTGAGATAACGGCATTAAAGAAATATTGCAAGTAGGCCATTCTTGGCTTCCTAAATCAATGAGCAGATAAAGGAAGAAATAGCCCCTGCAGGGTGTCCCCCTGCAGGAATTATTAAGATGTCCTGACAGCCAGTAACGTGTATTATGTTATTTTAAGATGTAATAGCCCATGTTGAGGCAGAAAGTGCAATTTTGGAAATATTGGAATTCAGTGCTGAGATGTAATTGCCCAAGTTTCATCAAAATCCAATCCGTGGTGTCTGTGATATTGTCTGTGACACATTGACAAATGAACGAACAACGTTCCCTGTGGGCCACATTTATTGAAAATTAGGTCAGCTGTGTCTAGGATATCAACTTTGACACACAGACAAAAAAGATGATGTACCGCTCCCCTTGGACTAATTAGTGTAACTTTGAAAAAGCTGTGAGGTTGTAAGACGATTTGTGATGTCACACTTTGTACACTTTGGTGAATTAACAAATGATGTTGTGTTAACAAGTGTATTTACAGAAATTAAGAGCATCGACATGCATCATTGTGATAGCCTGGTTGATGCCATCAGACAGAGAAAAACCATAAATTGGCTTGCTCTGGCTGTGTGACTATACATGTCTCTTGGGTAAGATGTGCCTTCATGGACACCAAGCTGTGTAATTGTGTATGAGAAAGAGCCAGCTCCCTCAAAACTCTCCATCAGAAGATGCTGTCGAGGTCTGACAAAATCCTTATTGAGCATGTAGAGGAGCAACTGCCACATCTTCAAACAAACAAAATATTTTTGGATCAAGAGAAAGGCCAAATAGTAAGACACAAAACTTGCAAACCCTGCCTTAAACCATCCAGAGTGGAATCTTCTGTAAAATTGTGTTTACTGTTTTTATATTTATTCTATTGTTTCTTTTTTGGGAACAAGGAAATACCTGGAATAGAAGCTGCAGTTCAACTCCTCGCCTGACAATTGGCAGATGGGCGCCATTCTCTGACAGACAATGAATATCCAGTATCAGAGTTGACCCTGCCTGCTCTGAACCTTTAGTGAAGCATGAGGGGCGTCTGTGAGAGGTCTGGTGGAAGGTCAGGAGTCTTGAACCCTACTGATTCGCATGGAAGTCCTGCAGATCTTTGTGGTAGACATATGGTAACTCCTTCTGCTCTTCCTGGCACAAAGGCTAGACGGGGAGCATTAGCGAGAGGCAGGGGTTGCCGGCGGCAGCATGGCAGCTCTCTCCTCTCCTGCCACATCCGGACTACTTGTAGGCTTTTCAAAAGTACAAGAAGGTCTGGGCACTTATGGATCAACCCAATGTCAGATGACTCCATGTGGGAGTTCAGTGCAGAGAAAGGGGTCCGACAGAGCCGCTTCGGTGTGTCCTTGGGAATTTCTCTTGGTCATGTGTAAACCACAGTCGAAACAATTCTCATAATCTTCCATAGCTGCTAACAAAACTGAAGCTGATGCTATTGTTGACTGGCTAGCTCAGCACTGCTTTACAGTGGTGGAGCAGAGGAAGTTTTACAGTGTTGTAGGGTCCAAAATGGCATCATCATCATAATGCCATCCAATG